CAGTTTCAAGGTTATCTTTTCTTACCTGGCAGAGCAAGGGAGAGGATAAGTTCTAGTTTATCAAATATTCTCTGGATCTAGGTTTTATCATCTACAAATATAGGGTTGGGACTAAATGATATCTAAATTACATAAATGAGAATGTTGTATTAGATGCTACAAGTGGTTGCCTAATTTCAAAGAATGAGCATACTAAGTATAAAGGCAATGGGGGAGGAACACAATTAGAAAAAAAGAAATCTTTTTTGAGCAGAAAAGACCAGGAATTAGTTTCTTAGAGCAACCTGCACTAAGATGAGCTATATGGAGCAGGAATGATCTGCTAAAAAGAGAAATCTATCACTTACCCCCAAAGAGCGGTCAGCTTGAAAATGCTTTAAGATATTTTCCTACCCATATGAGGCACACATGAGTGCAGAAGGCACATGCTGGACAAGAAAACAGAATCCATTAGATCACTCTAGGCTGAACATCACTAATCTTTCTTTGATGATTCAAGTGACTACAAAATCTTTATTTGGGGAACCAACTCAGGAATTTCAATCATCACAGGAATTACTTGGGACAATGCTAGGGAAGCCAGCTTATACTATGGGTAAATAGATTTTTTTTTTCGGCGTTCAGAAATAATCATTGGTTAGGAGTTCTGCATTCTAGAACTGGCTTTACCATATATTAATTGTGTAAACTTGGGCAAATCACTTATTTTATAATACAAATCAGCAGAAAGAAGCAAAACAAAATTGAAAAAAAACTTTGTTTAGAAAGTTTACGGAATGGCAAATCACTTATTTTATAATACAAATCAGCAGAAAGAAGCAAAACAAAATTGAAAAAAAAACTTTGTTTAGAAAGTTTACGGAATAAGGGCTGGCCCGGTGGCGCACTGCTACAGTGCGCCGCTTGGGAGCGCGGCGGCGCTCCTGCCGAGGGTTCGGATCCCACATACAGACCGGTTCCCACTCACTGGCTGAGCGAGGTGTGGGTGCAACACTGAGGGTTTCGATCCCGTTGCCGGTCCCGGTCTGGTACGGGCGCGACACTGAGGGTTGCGATCCGTTGCCGGACACGAAAAAAAGACAAAAAGGAAAAAAAAAAAAAGAAAGTTTATGGAATAAACATTCCTTTATAATTGGCTGAGAGTATACAGTTTGTTGACATGGCTGAGTCATG